AAAAATCCAAGGAGGACAATGAGGCTTTCAAGGGGCATAAATTAATAATCTGATTCTCTGACTACCTATTGCATTTTTGGAGGCCCTGGAGTACCAGGATGGTAGAAACACACACAAAATGACCTCATTTTGGAAAGCAGACACCCCAAGGTATTTAATAAGTGACATGGTGAGTGTTTTGAAGATGTATTTTTGCCACAAGTTTTTTAAAAATGCAGGAAGAAAATTAAAATGTATTTTTTTTTATTCGCAATTTATAGGCTATTATTAACACATAGCATAGGCATACTCAGAATTATACCCCAAAACACATTCTGCTATTCTTCCCGAGTATGGGAATACCACATGTGTGTTCAGGTGGCTCCAGATGACTATCTTTCCCTTCATACACACAGAAATCATATGTGTATCCTGTGTCTCTTTCACAAAGCTTACTCAATACCTGGCACATTTGCTGGGAGATATTGTTTTATAATAAGCCTGCCTGTGAAATGAATGAGGGATTCACTGAGAGTGTACGATTTTAGTGTGTGTCACTTTAATTTCTTAATGTGGATGATCGATGTGAAGCTCTCAATCTCCTCTCTCACATCCGAACGGTGTGTGAGAGATGAGATGAAGACAATGCTGCAACCCGCAGCCATTGTTTACACTTTTGACAGCTGTGATTTGTCACAGCTAGATCACAAGGCCGATTTTACTGGCTATATACCTTGTTTTGGTCTGTCTTCCCCGTGAGAAAACATGGGGGTGCGCACGAGTGGGGTTGGGGAGAATGTCTAAAAAAGCCCATCTGCATTCAGGAAGCCGCTGTCTAACCGTTTAATTACAAAGGCCGGACAGCAGGTAGTTAATGTAATGGAACCAGACAGAGGTGACAGAAGCACAATGTCCTGGTTGAGGTAAAAGGCTGAAACTATCTTAAAAAGAAAGGAATCTCTAGGCCTCCACACGACCTCATCCTTGTGTTGGGTTCACACCTTTTTCCGGACCAGATCTGGATCTGGTGCATTGCATTTTTGCCACGATTTTGCCGCGATTGGAATTTGATTTTTTTTAGCTTAAAATGGGTCTTACAGGTGCGTTTCAGACATTTTGATGCGTTTTTGATGCGTTCCAGTGCATTCCAGACCAGAAAAAATAGGACAAGCAGTATTATCCTGGTCTGGAACGAAATGCGCTGGTGGTTCATAAATAGCATAGGGATAACATTGGGATGCATTTTGAGTCTGGAGGTAATCTGGATGTGGTGTGAATGGACCCTAGACTTTACAGGATAAGGCTGCCAGTACAGGCAAACTCCTGGCAGTTGTGGTGGCAACAAGGAGCACAGCCTTGTAAGAGGATGATAGTTTCAACAGTTGATCTTTGACATGCCGAAAGAACCACATTTAAATTCCACAGAGTCACAGGTGGTTGAACAGGAGGAGCCACATAAGGCACGCTGTGTGTGTGGGCAGCACAGTGGCATAGTGATTAGCCCTTCTGCCTTGCAGCACTCAGGGTCCCTAGTTCAAATCCCAGCCAGATCACTATCTGTATGGAGTTTGGATGTTCTCCCTGTTTCCTAGGGTACTCCATTTTCCTCCCACACTCCAGAGACATGCTGGTAGGTAACTGGCTCCTGTCTAAATTGGCCATGTATGTATGTGAGATAGGGACCTTAGATTGTAAGCTCCTTGTGCTGCGTAAATTGTTGTTACTATATAAATACCTGAAATAAATACATTTAAAAAACAACACCCTGTACCAAACTCTTAACCAATGATTAAGAAGCTAGCAGCCTTTGAAATAAGATCACAAGGGCCGAAATTTGCTCCTTTATGTTACTCGGGGCCAAATGCAAATCCAGGCTTGACTGCATAAAAGGTTATGATTCTTCCTGCTGAGTATTTCCTGGAGTGAAATCTTTCCTCGTACCACGCAAAATAAGCCTTCCATGTGTGATGGTAGACAGCCATGCCGTTAAAGCTAGCAACCATGAAGCAGGGCATATGCCAGAAGACTGACCAGGTCAGACAACAATATCTGTCTGGGCAAGTTTGGTGCAAGAAGAATCATTGGAATGCCACCATTTCAATTCTGCAGAGTAGATAAGGAAGGAGGTTCCAAGGAGGAAATGCTGCACTGATCCCATGGAGTCCCCAGAGCATCCACAGTTTGCTGTTGAACCTGGAGGCCAGGAGGTCCACATCCAGTGTCCTCCATTTGTAACACGGATCCTGAAATACTTCTGGATATACCAACCATTCCTCCAAGTCCACATGCTGCCTCAGCTGAGGTAGTTTGCTTACCATTTGAAATGTAAATAGTGGACAAGGCTGGAACATGGAGTTCTGCCCAAGCAGGGATCTTTTCTACCTTCCTCAATGATTGATGTACATCTGATTGGACAACCTTCCAGTAGAGGTGCCCAACAACTAAATTGCTTGGAGCTCCAGAATGTTCATGAGGAGACAGCATTTCTCTAGCTACCTAGCCCGCTGTGCCAAAAAGGTTTCCAGGATTTCTCCCCAGCCTTTCAGTTTGGCATCAATTGTTAGGATTTTCCAGGAGAGTGGAGAAGGAACCAATGTATCCCATCAGTGACATAATTTTGTGTTGTAGGAGTCTGGAATGAAACAGAACAAATGCAACTGCCTCAAATGAGGCTACCATCAAGTCACGAAATCTCAGGCAGGACCACAGAATTGGACAACTCCTGGACTGTAGAGTCCAACTGTGGGAGTGAAGGGTCAGAAGTTTTTCTTGGAGAACTGCAGAACACTTGGGCTGCGGAAGACAAACCAAAAGGTAGGAGTACAAACTGGTAGTGTTGACCACTCACAGAAAAAGGGAGCCTTTTTGCACCATGCAAACTTTTTGGACTTGACTGAAGACATTTAAAACCTTAGACCCAAAGTGCTCCCTTTTTGTTTTGGAACAGTAAATGGTTTGGAGTAAAAACCCTGTAACCTTTCTTTTGTTTGGAACAATACCAAAATTCCTTTGTTCAAAAGATTTGCAGGTTTGCAAGTCTGTGTGAAGACACAGGCAGGTTGGACAACATAAAGTGGGGAGGGGGCAGACAGCAGAACTCTAACCTATCACCCTTGGAAACAACTCTCTTACCCAGTTATCCAAGATGCTTTTAGTGCAGGCTGTGAAGGCCAACAGATGTCCCCCCACTTTGGCAAATGTTCATGCTAAAGAGGATTTGTCTGCAGGTTTAGGGGATTTAGGGGCCCAAGGTTTGCAATTGAACCGAGTCTCTGGTTTGAGTCTGGCCTTGGGATTTGAAGTCTTCCAGTAACCAAAGGAACTCGGCTTCAGAGGGGAAAGAAGTTTTCCCACTTTGAGGCTTAGGCATCTTCTGACAGGACAAATGAGCACTTTTACCACCAGTAACATTCGTAATCAGGGTGTCAAAAAAACACAAACGAGACATTCACCATCAAAAGAAATGCGCAGCATGCATTTTTTACATTGTTCTGCAGACATACATTTCAGCTAAAGGGAATATTTACTAATGGGAGACGCATTTGGGAAATAAGACAGATGTTATCGACTAGCTCATCTATGCAATAGTGAAGGGCAGAAGCCAAAAGCTCTGAGCGCTCTACAAATAAAAGGTCAGTAAGGATCATTTGACATAGGTTTATTCCATTCTCCTAAAGGTTTACAGACTGACATGATGGCTACGACACGTTACAAAGTAGGGCTTGCCAGCAAAAGCAATGGTTTGAAAAGGGTTTCCAAACCTTTGCCAATGGGATCCTTAAACACTGGTGCATCCTCTACAGGTATGGGCAGTGTTTTTTAAGGCAATCTTGTTAATTGGCCTATAAAACCTAGCATATCTTGGTCTAACTTTTCCCTAGAGACAGTTGTGAGAGGCACCAAAGAGTGTATGACTTAAGCAGGAGACAACAATCAAGGCTGTCCACACCAGGTCCCTGAGAAAGAACACTGCAATTCAACAAAGGACTGTTAGTGGATCAATCCAATGCAGCAGGATTTCTCCCCTTGGGTTTGGGATCCAACATGTCGCACTGCTTAACAGAGTTAAGAACTTAATTGAGAACACCAGGTAAAAAATGTGGGTACTCATAAACCAGCTGATGAAAGCAGTAGAGGTTCATATGACCAGGAGTGAAAGGGTATGTCTTTTTCAAATAAGTAATGTGTAATGACAGGAAGATGCTACCTCACACTGAAAAGGTGGGAACAGAGCTCGCAGTACACGCATGCAACACTTTCACTGGTTATGCAGCACTTAATTCCTTCATATGTTAACCTTGATGGCGCCCAATGGTTCAAATAAATGTAGTAGCTCCCAAAGTTTTGTGTCCTCATTTAAAATGTTTTCAGAGACTTGGTCCCACCAGAGGCTTTGCCATGGCTGGAAAGCTCTTTTCGGCTAACTTACACAGTACACAGAGGTCTGGAAAGCATTACAAGCAGAGTCCAGTGCTCGATGGTTACATTACAGGACGGCCCCACAATTTTGGGTCCAGATACAGCCTCCAAAAACTATTTCTGAGGATACACAGATCCAGACCCCAGCAGAGCAGCATGTAGAACTCATGAGAAAAAAAAATCTAGTCAAAGAGAAAATAGCTAGTAAAAATAGTTAAACTTTTCTCAGTAGAGAAAAGACACCCATCCTAGTAGGACACTAGAAGAAAATTGAAGCATGCTGGGAGTGGAAGACGTTATACCTGGATGGCCACTGTGGTTTGCCAGTGTCCAATTTCTCCTGTCTCTGAACAACTTAGTCCTGTGTCTCTAATGAATGAGCAGAAAAAAAACATTGTAGCATGTTGATCCACAAAGTTATCCAATCACTTCAGGGAATACAAAATAAATTGTTTATGTTTGTTTGAACAAATTGACCACACTTTATGTTTTTGGCCTTCCACTGATTTACTTGTGGTTTTAGGATTTCCTTTTTTTTTTTTTTTGGTTAAACTTGATGGATATGTTTCTAACCTGACTAACTACATAACTATGTAACTTAGGAACGGCGCAGAGCTGAACGTGCTGAGCAACAAAGGTTTAGAACTGAAAAAGAGCGGGAGAGACAAGCCAGAATGGCGGTAAGAAAAACTATATAATCAATATTCACTTGGACAACAATGTAATACAGTATGACAAACCAAGGATTGTAAAATTTAATATTGACTATTTGGAACATTGAAGTGATTTACTTCTGGTGGAAAGTAACTCTTAAACAGGAAAAAGAACTAGGCAGGGAATTCTTCAGGAAGGGGAACAAAGCTTTCACTCACCTGTGAAAAAGGAAATTATTACATATCCTCAGGTTGTTAAAGAAAACACTTAGTGACATTAAACTTTTTTTTTGCTGTAGGGACTTACCTTAAGTGATGCCTCTTGATCTGATCATTTTCTTCCTTCCAGTAGTTTCCAGCACTCCCTCCAGCATTGGTGCTGGTCCCTGATTCAGTGCAGACTCTTCGGGTCCCACGTTGTCTGTCGGACGTGCACGCTCACGGCTGCAAGCATTGACTTCTATTGAGTCTCTCCTCTTCTCCCTGCCGGTGATCTCTACTGCGAATGCATCCGCCCAGATCTTCCTGCATGGTAGTTCAGAGAAGCTGGATGCTGCAGTTGGGAGCGAGCAGTAGTGACAGAGCTAAGTATTTACTTATTTGGTCACCTTTTTTATTTTTTAAAATGTTTTTGCAAATATCTAATGCTTGCCAGCAGTAGATATATGTAAAAAAAATAAGACTTTAATTCTACTTTAATACTTAAATGATTGCTTCTCTTTTTCATGATTAAATGTTATTGATGCTTTTTTTTTTTTTTGGTTAAACTTGATGGATATGTTTCTAACCTGACTAACTACATAACTATGTAACTTAGGAACGGCGCAGAGCTGAACGTGCTGAGCAACAAAGGTTTAGAACTGAAAAAGAGCGGGAGAGACAAGCCAGAATGGCGGTAAGAAAAACTATATAATCAATATTCACTTGGACAACAATGTAATACAGTATGACAAACCAAGGATTGTAAAATTTAATATTGACTATTTGGAACATTGAAGTGATTTACTTCTGGTGGAAAGTAACTCTTAAACAGGAAAAAGAACTAGGCAGGGAATTCTTCAGGAAGGGGAACAAAGCTTTCACTCACCTGTGAAAAAGGAAATTATTACATATCCTCAGGTTGTTAAAGAAAACACTTAGTGACATTAAACTTTTTTTTTGCTGTAGGGACTTACCTTAAGTGATGCCTCTTGATCTGATCATTTTCTTCCTTCCAGTAGTTTCCAGCACTCCCTCCAGCATTGGTGCTGGTCCCTGATTCAGTGCAGACTCTTCGGGTCCCACGTTGTCTGTCGGACGTGCACGCTCACGGCTGCAAGCATTGACTTCTATTGAGTCTCTCCTCTTCTCCCTGCCGGTGATCTCTACTGCGAATGCATCCGCCCAGATCTTCCTGCATGGTAGTTCAGAGAAGCTGGATGCTGCAGTTGGGAGCGAGCAGTAGTGACAGAGCTAAGTATTTACTTATTTGGTCACCTTTTTTATTTTTTAAAATGTTTTTGCAAATATCTAATGCTTGCCAGCAGTAGATATATGTAAAAAAAATAAGACTTTAATTCTACTTTAATACTTAAATGATTGCTTCTCTTTTTCATGATTAAATGTTATTGATGCTTCAAAGTGTATTTCCACTTCTGCAATCAAATTTGAGAAAACCACACTTTGTTATATGTTTCTAGTCATACAGCATACTTGAGAAATATTTTGTTAACAATTATTTCTCACCATTTAGATGTGTCTGTGTAGCAAGCCTGTGCAAGCTTCTGTCCTAGTTTTCCAAGTGATAGGACCTCTGCTTGTCCTCATAAAAAGACTAGGAACAAACTCTGCCTTCCTTTTATTAGCATGCAATGCCTCTAGTTTAGACATGTGCGATTCGTTTCATTGTGAAATTCGGACGCATTTTTGGAAATTCAAACATTTGCATGCATCCGAATTTCCGAACGCAAATATATAACGAATCCGAATGTATCCGATAATGTAAATTTCGGATGCATCTGAATTTCTTTCCGAATTTCATTCATTACGAATAAACTTTTGTTGTCAAAAGTCATTATATACTCCAAAGGAGTCATTTCCAGCAATGATTTCTGAAAGGTTAGGATCCACCCCAACTACTGTAAATTCTTGCCAGATTTGGGTGTTCCTCAGGGGGTATTTGGTACTGCCCAGATGCAGGACCCCACTTTGGCTCGGGAACGTGAACAGGTTGTAGTGATAGATGGGATTCACCAAGAGCCAGGTGCAAATGAGCGGTGGCCACATTTTTCAGTATGTAATGATTTGCTCTATCGGGTAACCAAAGTAAGAGAAGATGTGGTAGAACAATTGTTGTTACCCCAACAGTCCAGACAAAAGGTTCTCGACCTGGCCCATAACAATGTTTTAGGAGGACACCTAGGAATCAATAAGACGGATCACAGATCACTGCCCAGTTTTACTGGCTAGGCATGAAAGCAGAAATAAAGAAATACTGCACCTCTTGTCCCACCTATTAGTTAACCGCTCCAGTGACTCAGGTCCGTAGCCCTTTGGTCCCTCAGCCCATAATTGAAGTTCTGTTTGAACGGATAGCAATGGATATAGTGGGTCCCCTGGTAAAGTCGGCTCGAAGTCACTCCTACATACTGGTGATCCTCGATTATTCACCCGATATCCTGAAGCACTACCCCTATGGAATACCTCCTCCAAGACTATTGCCCGGGAGTTATTCCAGGTGTACAAGGCCGGGATTCCTAAGGAGTTATTAACGGATCAGGGCACACCGTTCATGTCGAGGGTTAGGGCAGATGTGTGCAAGCTGTTCCAGATTAAACAGCTGCGCACCTCAGTCTACCATCCACAAACGGACGGCTTGGTAGAACGCTTTAATAAAACCCTTAAGTCCATGCTTAAGAGAGTGGTACAAAAGGATGGGAAAGACTTGACTTGCGGGAGCAGCTACATGGTCTGCATCTCTGTCGCTCTTTCAGTGAATGCTGGCCGAAACGATTGCAGACCTTACTAATCAATCAACCACTGGAGCACCAGGGATCAATGTGCCTCCTCACAGCCTCCTCCCTGCAAAAAGGTAAGCAGGAGGTGGGCTCTGTAGTTTATTAGTTTATTTTACGTGCGGGGGGGACTGGGATTGTTATAAAAAAAACTATA